CAAGTTGTGCGGCGTTTGCGTTTAGGTGGTAATGACACAAATCTTAATTATACTTGTGTAATGAGACACTTACAGTGAACATGCGGTTGTTAGGGTCACTTCCATCAGGAGCTGCATTGCACCCAAGTAAACTCATTCTCCCAGATCAAGGTTTACACGTTCAGGAGAACGTCTTCGTGAAACACCAAACTCAGAGGTTTTGCCGCTGAAAAACGCAGGGCAGAGCCATAGGCTAGACTGAAGACCTGGCTGAGGGTTACCAGTCATCTGTCAGATTGTACTGGACCAGTAGCCGCTGATCAAAGGCAAGTAGTGAGTGTGAGCCATAAGTTTACAGCGGAGGAGTTTTGGTACATCAGGGCGCTCAGCGGTGCTCAGGAGGCGGTGTTACTCCTGGAATGGGAGGGCTGAAGAAAAGTTTTCCTGCGCAGGGTGGGGGGAGTAAATGAAGGATCAGGGTGGTTATTATGCCACAGCCCACCTTGAACTATCTGTGATATATTAGTCTATGAATTTAACCGCATAAAATCATAAAATATACTTCCCCCCTCATTTCTTCTTGCGTTAGGTTTGTGAAAATCATCTTATTCCACACTGCCTGACACTTACTGTATGCTTTCCAGCTCTTTGTTCAAGATATATAATGCTTAAACCCCAGACTCAACGTTTTATGGGTTCATTATTAAAAGACTCAACACGGTAGACGTTTTACGGATCATGTTATACACATTTCTCAATAACTGCGCCTGAAATGTTAGGTATATTTGGAAACTCTGGGATCTCCATTTGGATTTAAAGTTAAGTTGAGTTTATAGGAGAAGTTCGAGAGGTTAGGCAGCTCACCTCTTGGTGATATTAACCACCAGCAGCTAACTCATTTTTAGAAAATGATAAATGTATGTACCCTCCAATAAGACCATGAGACTGACAGGTAAAAGGTGCATAAGTTTACGCCTCCTGTATATCAGATGATTGAGTGTGGATCAATTGGGTCATCAGGGCAACCCTTTAGAGAACAATGGGTCAGTACACATCATTCCTATCATAAGGTTTCTGTTTCAGCTGTGGCCGCTCAGTTTCAGGGAACACCAGCAACTGTTGCCTCCCCTTCCAGGCGCAGGACGACCTCTGTGTGCTGTTGGTGTCTGGCGCCATCCTCTGGCAAAAATACAGAGCAGCATCTCCCAAACAGGAAGGGTGGGGGTACTGAGATTAAATATTTAATTGGTAAACTTTGAATATTTCATGTGGGTGATGTAAGGGACGGTGGCCACATGCGCTGGTGCTCTCAGAACCCGAGACGGTTTCTCTTTTTCCTGCCCTCAAAAGACCTTCTTAGGAAAACCCACAGTCTCGTGGCTGGTTGTAAAACTTGTGCCAAATTATAGCCGGTGTAGCGCGGTAGACTGAAAAGTATAACCGGTTAAATTTTCATTTAAAGCCGTTTTCAAGTTGGACTGCGACCATGTTTAAGGCTGCAAAAGGATGGTCTGAATATTTATGTCAAGAAACGGAAAACTAAGGTAATGAATGGTCATTATAAATCATCAATGAGTTAAAGTTATCAACCACATTTAGTGTTGATTAAGAGCGGATTTTATTTTAATTATCCAATTTCTGACAAACCTTTAGGAGCTATTTGCGCCATTGGCAATAGAATAAAAGTTGATCTCTGGCAAAGACACTTTTATTTTTAACGCAATTTTGCAAAAGTGAGACAAACTGATGATGAGTGGGATCCAAGGATGAAGAGATGTAGAGAGGGGATTGAGGATGCTGTGAGGTGCTGTTCAAGGTCCTGAATACCGGACAAGAGCAGTCACATCAGTTGTCTGTCTCATCTCTATTTCCCATTTAATTTATCACACATAATATAGAAACATCAGGTAATCTTCTTAAATGTAAACTATCAGTGTTTCATCCCTTCAGGATACTCTTACCTTTGCTTTTCTCTTCAGCAGGTGACTTGTAAACCCAAATATGATGTCGGAGTCAACGAAGATTGTCCCCAGGTCTATGACGCTGGGGTTGGGCTTCCCGGCTCCGGGAGACCCCGATGAGTTTGGCAAAGCCATGTGGGCTGCGAGTGTAGCCTAGACAATATTCCACTCCTCGGGAAACCTATTTTATTTGTATATCCATCTAATTCATTTCTCTCGTACCCTCCAAAAAGATCCACCAGGTTTTTTAATCCGGACATCCAGTGACTCACAGTGAGCGCTCACACGTGTGCGTAAAACCACCTCTCAGATTTCCAGTAGTCCGAAAAGACAATAAAGCAATACAATCCATCAGGCGTGCAAGAAAAAAAGGTTTACATCCAGTAAAATACTTTTTCAAGCCACCCTGAAGATGCTCATGTCAGATCTTTGAGCGCTGCGGGTCTGAGAGGGAAGGAGCACCTTGTGCGTCTGCTGCTCTCTGTTCTCCAGCCTCTCTCTCTCTCTCTCTCTCTCTCTCTCTCTCTCTCTCTCTCTCTCTCACTCCCCTTCTCCCACTCTCTCATTCACTCACTCAGCCATCCTCTCTCTCTTTCTCCCCCTCAGCCCCCTGTCAGACGGTGATGACCTGCTCTCCCACCTGATTTGCTGGTGCGTCGTTGTCAGCCCCCCCCTCACAAGAAGATGTAAAGCACATTGACAATCTTGGTCATATCCCCTAACGACAAATCCCCTGTAATATTCCTATAATATTAATGTGGGGACTTACAGTGTGTCAGTGGCACGCAGTAATGACCTCATTATAGCTTACTTTATGGTATTTCTTTCTCCTATATGATCATCTTTTATGTACTGTACACTGTAGAATAAGGGATATCAAATATCCAATAGGAGACATTGGATTTCTTATTTACTTACTATGATAATCAATTACAGGCAGTGATTTTTAAAATAAATAATCAACTTACACTGAATGCAACTATTGTGTGAGCTTCTATAAGCAGCTTGATGATTTAAGGTGTGTGTAGCTATATGCTAAATAATGTATCTCATGTCTAAAAATCTTACAATCGATATTCAATGAATAGCCTTCACCATTTCTAACAGGCTGAGGCCAGTTATCCCACAGATTGAACGGTGGAGCCATCATGTCGATGTAATTAGGCTGACTGTGCAGTATTTGAAACAATGTGAATATTGCTTTTATTTTATTTTATTTTTTAAATGGTAACACTCCACAACAGAAGTCACAGAGCAGTTTTAATGTTATGAATTTGAAGCAGTTTCTCCTGAAGCTCACCAGCAGAGCCACAGACTGTGGTGGTGGTGGTGGTGATGTCATCCACAGACGGTGAGCAGTGGGACGGTGTGACAGCACCCGTGGTGATTTCACTGAAATATGGACATATTTGCTGATTCACAGCTGGAAACCGCATTCAAATAAGGTTCATTTCAATCGTGACAGCACAAACAAAAGCTGTATGAATCAGTGTTTAGTTCAGTGCTTTGGGAATTTAAAGGGATAGTCCTGTCATTTAGTGTGGCTGTAATGTTGTAGGAGGCTCAAGAAACAGATTATCTTTAATGAAATCTAAACAACAGAGGGTGAGACATCCTGCCCAGTGTCGGCCAAGCTTAAAAAACACTGTATCCTACATTTCCCATAATGCAACGTGCAATATGGTTAATATTTCAGACTTTATTAGTAATTATGACTGGGAAGCTAATCTTGAAGTGTACAATCAGTGGAGGGCTGCTTTAACTGAACAAATACACTGAAATCGCTAAAGGGAAATTATATTCAGGGTGGATTTTTCCTTTAATAATTTGACACTTCTGACTCAAAAAGTTTGATTTAAACTGCATAACTAAATAAATGAATGAAACAAATAAATTCATGTGTGCAGTAGGAGAGTAATATTTCGGATCTGATCAGTGTTTATAAACTTCAAAGTTGCAGGGGTCAGAGAGAAAAGTTTTTTGGGGGGGGAGCTTTTACAAGTTTTTATTTTTCAGTAGATCAGAGATGATTAAAACCAAAGATTTAGACTTTCGTGCAACAGTGATGCTACAGCTGGGGGGGGGGGAACAATAAATATTCTAGGGATGAATAAATTATTTTGGATCCCCACACAAACACCTGGCAAACCACGCGACTCATCACCCCACATGGATATACGCACGCACGCACAGACACACGCACACACTTTTTGCGCGTGGAGTTGGGGGGCGGGGCAGGGCCTTGTCAGCAACCCGATAATTACAATCCATAGTAAAGATGATTTACCATGTCCGTCACCCAGCTCTCCCCTCTGGAGGAGGTCTGGGTTGGGTGTCCCCTGGACGCTGATGAAATTCCGAGGAGGGGGGGGCTGTCCCCTGGGACTGCGTGTGCCGCTACATCTGCTGCCGCCCTTGCGCACGCACAGGGAAATCGCTCTGAGCATCTCATTAAAGCCTCTCCTATGTCTTATCCCCTCTCCTGCGAGACCTCTGCAGCCTCTCCCGGTGCACGGACAAGGCTTTGTGAGAAACGTTTAGCAAATATTGATAGTTTCTTGGCGCATGGAGGAGATCAAAGGAGGAAGAAGGAGAAGGGGGTTTGTCTAAAAGGAGAGGGGGGAATAATCGGTGCACAGTGCTTTCATGAATCATTTATGCAGTATAAAGTAGCCTATACCTTGAGGGAAAAGGCGTTCGGGTTTTCTTTCCTAGAGTTGTGTCAGATTTTTTAGTCTTTAGGTCAGATTTTCCCATCAAACTAGTGTGTGTGTTTAGAATTTAATGAAGGTATTTATAGTCTAACTGAGTCTGATGAGTGGTTTAATCAGTGTAACAGGGAAAAATAAAGGCAGAAATACTTCAAACGTCTAATTATTTAACTACACTGACCTCTTAAAAAAACACAAATCTTCTCTGGTTTGTTAGGTTGTATGGAAATTGACAGCAGATGCAATGATTTGGCGATATTTACCGTACAGCAGCAAGTTTCAGTACTTTGGACAGCGACCATCCCTCCCTGCAGACTCACTGTCCATCATCCCACACGGACTCAACAGAGACAAATTATTCTTTATTGACTTATTTTAATCAGTACTTCTGAATATTGGCAACAGTAAAGTAGCAAAAAAAAAAAAAAAAAAAAAGACAGGGTATTACTGCAACAGCAGAGCTGTTAAAAATCTGTATGTGTGCCAGCAGAATGAAATTACTGAAGCCTGATGATTTTTTACAGCCCCCTGCAGTTCCTGGACTGCAGTTGGCTTTGCAACACAAGGGGGCACAATGGGAGTAGAAGACAGAGACATTAAGGAAACAAAAAAAAGGAGAGAAAATCACACAACTGAATTCAAATCATTCTGAAAGTCCTGCCTTGAAAGATGTTTGATGTTTGATGTTTTTTAAAGATCCATTCAAAGGTAGTATTTTCCCCAAGCTGACAGCATTTGTCTGACTGGTCAAGTGGTCCTAAACATTTCACAATTTTCTCAAAGAACTGTTGAACTGTTGAGAACCACTTAATCAGAGAGACCACACACTTCTTCATGGCAAAGTCCGTCCTTCAAACTGTTGATTCCACTAGTGAAAGAGAAGAAGCAAAACAGCAGCTAGAATTAGTCTACTGAAACGATCTGTGGGCAGTGAACGCACCACCGCAGCAGATTCCAGACCCTTACACTTTACAGGACAAATCTACAAAAACAAGCCGAAGGCCTCAGAAAAAAACTACAGGCTGTGTGTCAAGAGTGCTTACCCAGAGGAGGTGAGAGCTGTCCTTGTGCAGTGGTGTCTCCTTGGTGTCATCCCAGCCCAGACTGACTGACTGCAGAGCTGAGAGCTCTTTATATACTGTTTTGGGGCTAGGTTCATACAAGTCTTTCATTCAAGGAGGAATGAGGCCCATGCTGGTCTAACCGGATGAGCTGGGTTCCACCAGCAAGGAGCACGATGGGGCAGCCGCCCTCAAGACAGAGATAGCAAATACCAGCCTCTGCAGGCTGAGATGTTACATGGACATGTGGAATTTTATGTCAACTTTGTGTTCTACCATGTCTAATTTCTAATAAATGTATCTCACACTCAGTAAGAGCTCACACATTAATGTGTTAGACAGGCTCCACGTTTGGGTTTCATTGTTGTCTCTTCTACAGGCCTGCCGCAGTCACTATCCAATTATTATTCTGAACACATGAAATGAACTCCACCAAATGGTTAGACGTCCGTTAATTCATAAGGAAAATGTTGACCATGTCAAATCGGAAATTGCTCAGGAACATCTAGGAGCGGCACACGCACGGTTTCATGTGAGTTTCAGGGTTTGGTGCAACACAGTAGAAACCACAGGACACTGCTTTAAAATATAAGGTTTATTTCTGTTACTTTTTATTCACCACAGAAGAAACAGACCACCGTTACATCCCTTTCACACACGCTCTTCTCTTTACACTTTTTTCAAATACAAAACTGAGACAAGAATGGCATTGGAAACAGCAGGACAAATTTTAAGTAATTTAGAATTTTCTTGCACTTTAGAAGTGTAATCACAGTAATCACAGTGGATTCCCTTACAGATGATAACATTAAAGTGTAAAAGACAACTGACCTACATTTAAAAATTAAATTATATCAAACAAGAGTAGCAATGTTTAACACCATTTACTTGTTGCACAACAAAGATGAATAAAGTGAAACAAGTCATTTGCTTGCAAAAGGATATAAGAAAACGATCAAAATACATCAGAGAACACAGAAACTGACTTTATCTGACTCACACAATAGTCTGAATTCCCCCTTTACATTACAAAAGGGAGATATGCAACTCTTCTAGCTTGACAATCAGCAAGTGAAACAGGCTGGATGAGCCTGAAAGGTAACTGGGTTTTTGTAGCACCTGTTTGAGCAGAAGGAAATGAAACCTTTTGCTTCAGGGGGGGCTGAGGTGTACTTGGACCGGAAAAGTACTACAATTGGATCCCAGATGATAAAAACACAATCTTATTTTCACTACTTTGCACAATATTTTCCAGCATATCTCTGTAAAAATAGCATAAAAATAAAATGTGTAAATGTGCCTGTTTCAGATATCGTGAATACATTTCTATAGCAAGAGCCAACATTACTTTATAAAGTAACGTCACAATATTCAGAGTTCTTTGACACTATATTATATATATATATATATATATATATTTTAAAACATCAAGATTTAACCACTACCCTTCACTTCTGAGGAGGTTTGAGCAGTCTTTATGTTAAAACAGCTCAGGTACACCCTTAAATCCCTGATTAGACATTAGAATAACAGTCTATGGTTCATACTTAGTAGTCAATTAATTTGTTTGAAACATTCAGGATGATGTTTCCTTGTGCATACATTGCAGTGTAACAGTCATACATATATATATATATATATATATATATATATATAGTGTATATAGTATATTATATGTATACATACATATAGTGTTGCCCTTTTTGGGCACTGTGTGCTACACAAGGATGTGCTATTAGGGAAATACTGTAGTCAGTGATGACTTTAAATGTCATGCTAATATAAGACTGTGAAAGTCAACGGGACAGGTGGACGGTGTGTTGAAGATGGCCTGTAGAGGACGGCTTGGGAGGAAGTGGACACAGACAAAGGACTATTCCTGTTGGTTGAGGCAGCGTCAGCTCAACGTCCTGCTGGAGAGGCAGTGAACTCGATGCCTCTGCCGTTCTGCCGCAGAGACAAAAAGAGACAGGATTAACATGGAGCACTGGGGAGGTGAGAGGTGTTTCAGCGCTATTGACTACTAGTGTGCACACACAAACACACATACACACATACACACACACACACACACACACACACACACGTCAGCCTAGCGTAAAGCAGGCTGCACAGGTTTAGTGTTCACAGGCATTTGTGGGCAGGCACTAAAGGTGATCAGATTTTATCTGCAAGGTGATGAAAGCTCTGAGGTATGCTTAGCTTAAATTCAAAAGGCAATGGTTGCTTCTCAGAGCTAGGACAGCTACTAAAAATTACTTTATTTTTCAGTTCATCTGTTGATTGTTTTTCTGATTTATAGACTAAAAGGTTAATAAATTAAACATGATAAAATAGTGAATACCAGTCACAATTACCCAGAAACTGATTTACAATGCTATTTAATCCTCACATTTTAGAAGCTGGAGCCAGTAAATGTTGGACATTTTACCATTTATATTGTAATTACAATTATATATATTTTCAGTCAGTCAGCTAATTAATCACTTTAACTCAAAACACCTTTTTTTTTATTTTACAAATGTACGTATCAACAATAATACCAGTTTTCTCTTACTCTCCTTTGTTCCATCTTTTGAAATCTTTGCTGTGTCTCAAATGTTTGTTATTTAAAATATATTTAAAAACAAGACGGTCCTTGATTTAAAGTCTAACTGAGCCCTTTGTATGCATGGGCTTTCCTCTGGGCACCAGGTGAATTGGCAGCTCATAAATGCCAGACTGCCTCAAAGTGTTTGTTGTATATATGGGTGTTTTAGTTCTCTAGACGTATAGACTGTGACCTATCCAGGGGTGCAACCTGCTGCTTGCGCACTGCATTCTGGGACAGACAAACCACAACCCTGAGCCAGAGATAAAATGGAGGGATGGACTGATAGGCACAAGGAGATGTACGCAAAGATGAAGGAGAGCTAAAGCAGCCACGCTAAGGGAGGGGGGTGGAATCTCATGCTCAATATGAGGGAAGTGCAAATACATTTAATTTACCTCATCATCATCATCATCATACTCATTAAATCCATCAAATACTGTCTGAAATTAAACAAGACAAACATGCAATTGAGAGGCAATTATTGACAGAAAATTACACCAATGCAAATTAAGTTAAAGCTGTGGGTGTTTGGCATGAAAGAAATAGAGATATAAAACAGCTAAAATGAAAAATAGTGGTTACCTTGGATCTGTTGCTCATGAGTTGGACTAAAAAGGCCACCACTTCCTTTTGGCCAACAGCCTGGGCCTGTGACATTTAAAAGCATGAATAATAAGAATGAATGAGTGGTTTTACTTTATGAAGTAAAAAGTGTTAATAATTAATTAAAGTGGAATACGTGTCCCTAGAACCCACCACTTGAATTGCTGTCTGTCCGTCATAGCCTGTTTCATTCAGATCAGCTCCGGCAAGGCTCCAGATTTTCAGGCCCTCCAGGTCACCACTGGCAGCCAGGCTGACAAACAGGATTTGACGGAGTTATTATGGCAAAGGCCCCCCATTCCCCAAAATATCAAACAGACACTGGGTGAAGGATAAGTTGTGTAAAGAGACTTGTCCGAAACTGGGCCAACACATTGGGGGGGGGGGGAATCAATAATGTCAGGCTTATGACTCACACATGTTTTCCTTTTACCTCAACAGCCCACAAGCTATTCTTATCGTACCTGACAAAAGGCGTGTTTCTGAAACTGCAAATTGGAACTGTCTTGACAAAACCTGTCGAGTGTGTCGAGCAGATAACCAACAGGGGCCGGCCAGTGTATCATATACTTGCCGACGTGAAGAATAGATCCAAAGCTATGCTGCAAGGGGGCATTCCTTCAGTTTGTGTAACAGTGGGACAACTGGTTGTACCTGTGTCAGCTATGTAGGATGGGTCACTGCGGATGGCTGAGACATTTGGGACTATATATGTGTGCAGTTGTCTGAAGATGTGCTTTTTGTGTTTCTCACCTGCACAGTTCTGTTCCTGCTTCCTCCAACTTGTCCCTGGAGAAGTGGGCTCCAGTCTTTCTCAGCAGCTTCACAACCTCCTTGTGCCTGAGTTAGAGGACATGCAGTAGAGTTATATATTCGTTACTGTACATGTAATATGTCATTAGCGTATCACTCAGTTAGAACCAGCAGATACTGAAATACCACCTGATAAATCCTGTTAAGAAATCCTTTTTAATAATAAAAATAAATAAATAAATAAATAAATAAAATAAATAAATAAATGAATAAAAATAATAGTTTTCAAACAATAATTTGGAGTTCATTGACAGTCAGTGTGGCAGTGATTTTGGTGTGGCATGTAAGAACACGCTCCTTGTCCCCGCAATGAACCACCCACGCAGGAGTTACCTGCAGTGACATTTGTAGACAGGAAATGAACAATCAAACAAAAGGCCTGAAATTGTACACCACTGAGCAGCTTTAGAGTTTATAAAGAAGAGCTGAGCTTTCTATGTAATAAGTGACGCAAAAGTTCAATTTGATGCTTAATTGTTTGTTTAATTGTCGTAGAGCTACAGCCAAAGAAACTATTAAAAGAAGACTTCCTGTAGAGAGTTAAGAACCCAGTATCTCTCATCTGTGAAACTGGGAGCAGGTTGGTAGGACTGGTTCAGAGGACACTCCCTATATTTGTTGTTTAACCCTTTTTTATCTGCCACTCCTTATATGGGCATCAGGCTGTTGTGCGCTGTGAAACGTTAGTGGCATTCAAGGTGCGTCAGACATCCGGACAGCAACTCAAAACTAAAGTTCTATTACTGTAATTTCATTAAATACATTTAGTAAGAGCAAAGCAAGCCAAGGTGTGCGGCATAGACAGGTGTTAGCGTTTCAATGCGTCCCTCTACCATCACAAAAGGAGACAAGTCCATACTTGCAGTGCCAACCGTTAAAATAGGACAACAGCCATTTGGCACAGCTCCGATACATACAACGTTTTCACCCTGAGGCTCAACATAGCACTAAAACATTAAGCGTGGCTTTTCCCTGAAAGACATTTAGAGCAATGTCAATGAATGACGAAAAATTAAAAAACAGCTTTGGTAAAAATAAACACCGTCTAAACTGTCAGATGACAATTAGCCTAATTAGTTTATAATTATTGCCTGGCCTCTAAACTCCATTACGAGTTGCTCCCCTGGTTTCAACCCCCCTCTGACAGCCTTCGCTCCCTTCCTGTCATTTAAGCAGAGCCAGATTCCCTACCTTGCAGCAGCTCATTTAATGAAGTCCCCTCTATTGCAGCTATTAACAACATATTTTCAGGAACCACTCAATAGTTGCTAATGGCCAAAATGGGAATTTTAAGTGTTGTTTTTGCAACTTCATAAATGAAATTATTACTTTAACAGACAGATGAAAACAAAACTCACAAGCCCTTATTGTTTAAAATGAGGCGAGTCTTACCTGAAGCGTACAGCGTTGCATAGGGGTGTGTCCCCATAGCGATCTTTAGCATACACTGTAGCTCCATGATTCAGTAGGTACTCCACCAGTTCGAGGTGGCCCTCACAGGCGGCAATATGCAGGGGTGTACGTCCATCATAGTCACCCAGAAACAAGTTACCGCCCTGTGACAAGGAAAGGAAAACATATACATTTTTGTGTACTTCATCTGGAAATTAAAGCATATGTCTGGGTATATTCATATTTTTCTTATTGTCAACAAATCTGAAATAAAATGACAGAGACCAAAGCCAACAATGAACTGAGTATTATGTGTGAGGCCAATGTCTGATATAGCTTTTTCTTCTGTGCCATACAGCTCCATTATTGTCCAGAAAACACAACAAGAAACACAGCTACACTGGTGACATGTTTCTTCATTACAATGAACCTGGGCACTGCAGTTTACAATACCACATACGCCGCTGTGCTGCCTTAAATACTCACCAGTACACCAAATCAGCACCAAAAAATGTTTTTCTCCTTGTTTGGAAGGCTACAGTGGCCAGCTGTTACCCAGCAAATTACTAAGCCTTTTAAAAAGAATATGTTTGTGTTTGTGTCTTCAGTAGAAACACAAGGGAACGGGTTCATAGGCAGCGGGCACAGGGGGGAAGACAGACTAACACATTGTTGGTTTTTGTTTTTTTTCCAGGGGATCTGTTGACAAATATAACAAATATATCAAGATCACTAGCCTGAATAAACTTAAACTAACCCAACTTTTAATAAACAGTGCAATTTCTGTAACCTTTATTACTGTTCAGCAGCACTGGTAGAACAAGGTTAAGAACCAAATAAATGAGGAGTGGGGGGGTAAATTAAAATTAAACTGAAAACAAATCCATCACAAGCAGGGAAAATGTATTGCACTACCTCTGAGCTACATGTGATTGTCAAGCTTTTGTCTAAGTGTAAGGATACAAAGATACTACATAAAGGATATTAAGGTAAATAAAGATAATACTTTAGATTTGTCCTTAGCAACTGTAGGGTTATCTAAGCAGAGACTGAACACCAGTCAAGCCACATACAAACATGTGCATGTGACCGCGAGGCAACTCAAGGCCTGCCTTACCAGTCTGTCCTCATGTTTTGGGCTGTGCGTCTGTGTGTTACCTAGGCCTCTCTTATACAGGAAGAGTGACCCTGAATAAATGTTGTCCAACCATTTGAGTTACAGGTTCACTTGAGTGCATTGACCCCACAGAACACACTTGATCAAGAGAAGCCAAATACTGCTCTGGTGGAATAAAGGTTTAGCACTAAGCTGTGTTTAGTCACAGCCACAGAAGGTTGATGTATCTGATTTTGACGATAATACACAAAGACCGACAGCGCATAAGGGCATTTCCCAGTACAACACCCTGAAACAAGCCATCCTAGGGTGTGTGTATGAAATGGTTATTACATCCATGACTAACATTCAAAAACAGGTAATGAGTATTACTTTGTATACATGTGGTAGAGACTGCAGGGTTGCTTACCATTTCCTTTATGGCTTCTAACGCCTCTTTGTCTCCGATCTTAGCAGCAGCACATGCTAGTGGAGGGGTCAGGGCATCACGGATGGCTTCCAGCTCCTTTATACACCATAAACTTTAATCAGAACTCGTCTGAATGTGTTTAATGTATTTTTTTTATTAATGAACTTCACCTATTAAACAAGTTTTCTTTTAACACTGCATGCATGAATCTAATCATACAGAAATGTGCTTTGTTGTCAGATAAGACCAAATGAAAAGAACTAGTTTGTTTGGTGAAGAGATAGGCAGACACACTGTTTAGGTCTGTGTATAAGTGGTGTCCTCACCTCCTTACAGCTGATGCTCAGAGACTTGGCGATAACCTGGATGAAACGGCTGTCGCTCAGACACAGCTTGGCACCTGCCAAGTCAGCACTCATCTCACCTCGCAGGTTCTGAGCCATCATCTGGACAGTGTCACACACAGAGACACACACACAAACACAAACACACACCTGGGCTTTACTTTTGTGTTTAGGATTTTCATTATTATTATTAATATCCAGTTACTCTAAAAACTCTCTACAGGAAATAAAGTGGTAAAAGGGACGTATGTGGAGACCAACCTTTTTCTTGGCAGCTAGATCGAGATCTTTCTTGGCCAAAACGTAGGACAGCTTTGACAGGGCCGCCTCTGGAGTCATATCTCCACCAGCTATCAGCCCTGCATCCATCAACACCTGAGAAGTCATAGGAATATGTGATTTGATCGATCAGTTCTATAGTCTAAAAAAGTGGGTCAGGATTGACTAGTGGGTGATGTGACGCACCTTGCCAGTAGCGTAAGATGCAGACACAGTCCCCCTCAGACACTGGGTGCAGTTGATGATGATGACACCAGAGTCAGTGGCCTTCTTCAGCTCCTCCAACAGGTCAAGACGGTTATCGGGGGCATTTCCACTGCCGTAGGTCTCCAGGACCACACCTTCCATGGGCGGCTGCAGGAAAGCCCTCACCTGGACACAGATATACCAACGATTCACATTAGAAACTCTAACGCTGCTCAACTGTGTAGAATCAAATTGAGGAATTAGTATTCCATGTTATTTTTCCCGCAGCATCTTTCACTCCATTGCATGAGACCATCCAATCTCCTAAAAGCCCATCTGGTGCCGTCTATGCAACCAGTATCTCAGTCACTGGTTGGCTGGCACCAGGAGGCCCTATACCACATCATTAGCCATGGCATATGACTGGAATGGCAGATGACTGAAATGGCAGGAAGGAGAGCAATTAATCTGAAGGTGTTAGCAAGCATAAAGTCACTTGGCAAGACCAAGGCAGTAACCATAAAACGTGAGAAGAAGGTGACATTAAAAGTGCCAGGTTCAGTCAGTATTTTTTGATGTGATAAGCAGTTTTGACAGGAAATGTTTGAAGCAGATTACCAATGAAGCTCTTATACAGCTGAGGCGGTAGGCACACGAGGGCCTGGTGCCTAATCAAAACGGTGCCTCATAAAGGCAGTTAAAGGCTTTAAGGAAGTCTTGATAGCCGAGCTGGGCAGTGGGAGCAGATTGAGACAGTAAAGCCAGTCTCCCAGCAGCCTCTGCAGGGGGAGGTGCAGCTAAATGTTACAGTATCTACGCCAATCCTCCCTCTTTACAGGGTGATTGGTCATGGCCCATAACTCCTTCTCATCTTTCTCTGGGCTGAGCTTTGATGGCAGTTTACATGACCGGGAAGGTAACAGAAGACGGGTAATAGCACAATTAAATTAAAGTTAACTATATTTTATTGCAGTTAGACAAAACAACAGTTTTGAGCAGTCAGTAACCTTTGAAGAACATATCTTTAATTACATTTTAATAGACTGAGGAGGAAAACATTCTTGGCTTAAAGAGCAGGAGGTTGGTTGTCTGATGAAATATAATTTGGTGCGGGTGAGATTATGTAATTACCCATTAATAATCCTTGTGAGATAGTAATTTTAAGATTATGCAAATAATAATAATATTTAAAGCAGATAATGAAATGCAATGGGATTCCTTGTGACTGGAGTTGAACTGTGAGCAACAATGAACAGTCTGGACATATCAGTCAAGTCTATTCACTATTCTGTTGTGTGTGACATCAACCAAAGATGAAGGAAAACAAGTAATCTCTTGTCATTAGGTTTTAGGTGACAGTGACATTGCAGTGACAGAATAAACCTCTCTGTTCCAGTTGTGAGGCTGCGCAACTTACAGTAGCAGAAGTGATTCCTGGGAACAGCCTGAGCAGGCCCACGTTCCTGTTCAGCTCGGTGCTGACTTGAAACTTTGCTGTGGTGTTTGCCCTCCACACTGTATCCCAGTTAACTAAAGGAAAAGGTTGGAAAAAAAAAACAAATTTAAAAAAAAAAACACATCTTCTGGATATCTGAAGAAAAGTGACAGACACATTACACCGCTGGTTTACTTGTAATATCCACTTCAGCAGTGGCCAGAGGAGCCAAGTTAGGAGAGGAGAATGCATTGAAACTCCCAGCATCCACCTTGGTCACACGATTCCCTCTGTAGAGTTTGTTGTAGAAATACAGACACACCTGAATAGAGGCAAAAGGTATATTTAATGCCCAACAGATGACAAAATCTCTTTAACACCGCAGATGTTTTTTGTACACTATCAATGGAGTTGGACACGAATGTTCCTGCACTTCGGTCTAATGTCTACGTACAGACACATTTAATACTTATCAGTGTTCTTCCTGTTATTGTAATTGTTGTTCAGTATTGCGTAATGCTTTAGTTAGAAAGCCTTCTCATCAGACGAGTCGTTTAGGAGAGCTCTGTTGCCTGCCAACAGTGTTGTCACCTGTCTTTACAGACAACAAGCATTAACAAATATAGGGGATAATAATATTATAGGACTATTTTTATCAGTTAATTCATAATTAATTAATTAATCAATACATTAAATCTTGAAAGCTCATGAAAGAAAGCCACTACTGGTGATCATTACAGCCTCATATTCACTCTGTTTCTCTCTCACATTCCAGCAATTCCTGACTTTTGTTCTTTGAGACAGCCAAATTACATTTCTCAAATAATATAATCACATGTTGGTGAGTAGCATGTACTGTATTTCCCATCTCTATTTCCTCACCTCAGGAATCACAAATTGGCCAGCAATCAGCAGCGCCCCCAGCAGGTTGTCTCTGCCATCATTCCTCATCTCATAGATAGGAACCTGAAGACAGAACGTGCCTTATCTTATGAGGGAGGTAAATACTTAGAATGCTGCAGAAATATTGTTTGCTGTTGTTTGAAGACAGCAGCTCTTACCTGTGAGCCGGTGAGAATGATTGGTTTGCCCAAATGTTCACACATGAAAGACAGGGCAGAGGCTGTGTAAGCCATAGTGTCTGTGCCATGAAGGATCACAAATCCATCATAGTTTTCGTAGTTTTTCTGGAGTCAGACAAAAAAAAAAAAAAAAAGTTCAGTTTCTACGATATTACGCTGTATTTTATGAGCAACATGAATATTATAGGATTAAGTGATGCCTCACTTTTAAAATAATAAATTATGTTTATTTAGAAATGGAGGCAGCAAATACCTCAATGTCCTTTCCAATTCTACCCCAGTCATCTGTAGTCATATTGGAGGAGTCAAGCAAAGGCTTGTACTCTAAGATAGTGTAGATTATCCTCTTATTGTCTTTACTCAGCCTAGAAGACAGAGAAGTTTATTTAGTTTCTAGCATTATATACATACATTTAATTATCATATATACAAAAACCAAAACAGGGCAGCCAAATGTGAATATCAGTCTTTGTTAGTGCAGACGTTCACTCCAAAACACATAAAGGACACATGGTTAAAGAAATGATTATTATCTTTACTGTGACAAATGATTGTCTTCATTGTGCTCATTTAACAAATTAGGGTTAAGTTCTGGTTACATTTGAGAAGTGAGTTTAGAGAAGGGTAGGGGAATGCTAAAAACCAAGCTGACTTTATAAGCGAGACAAAAGTCTATTTAGCAAGGCCTTCTGTCTCAGCAGCATGGTGCCAAAACCTGTTTCAGACCCACACAGAGAGAGAATTCTAAAGTGTAAAAGGGAGGGGCATGGTAGGCAAGCTAACGAGAGCAGCACTGTGCCATTTTTCTTTTCCGCTGTCAAGCCCTAATGTTCTGTTGAACTTTACCACTGTGTATTGGAAATAAAGGCAAAGCTGAGGGACATAAGGTGGCTGATTTGATATACTGTATCTTTAGGGTTTTTTGGTGAGTCATTCCAGGTTAGAGCAAAGGGTTTCTTTTTCATGCCAATGACAAGGCAGGGAGCCTTGCATGTAAACATATTTATGTGGTCTCAAAGTGGAGTTTAACTCGGGCACCCCACGGCCCCACCTGCGACACTCTGTATAAAGCAGTGTGACGGGCTAAACAGCCATGGAAAGATTTTCTTTTTAATCTCCCTTTTAAAGAAACAACCTGGGGCACCCCCCACATTACCATAGGGCAGCCTTATAACATGGAGATAGGAGCTGAATGGAACAGCAGGGGGACGACCGAGCAAGCCCCAGTCCACCCAACCAGGGGTCCTACACACACTCTTCTAATTAGCCTTAAGTCCACACACGGCCCTCGAACATATGTTGTTGATAATCTTCAAGCCAAAGTGCCACAAGAAAACACTATTCAAATCACCAATTATTTATCTATCTTGGCAGCGTACCCTTAGGTGTAGCAAAGCAACACATTAGCATACCCGTGTTAAGTTGCCTCATAGCTTAAGAATAATGAATGTATGTGTATATGTCTGTGACTGGGGACTCAAGAAGTGGAAGAAGACAGTTGGAGGTGGGGTGCAAATGGCCTTGCGGTGCTGCCTCTCAACATCACATATGAATAAAGCTTTTCAATAAATCAATAAACTAATTCCCTCCTTCAACAGAGGCTGGGCTACAATCAACAGTATGCTCATTAGACTTGCTTATTAGCACACTTCAGCTGATATTAACAGTACCCCAACTCAAGGATGAGCAAATATGAAGCAGTAAATCATGCAGAACACCTACAAAGATATTACTGAATTTAATAAGAACATGCTCACATATTCAGTTAGCAAAGGTTTAATATTAGTCCAAATGAAGTGATCATTTAAGACATTTATCAAGCAGCAAATGAACAAACAGGGAGCTCTTGTGTACAGGCTGATGGTGTGGGAATGCTGAGGTGTAAGACATTAAAACTGAACAGCTCAAAATCATTTTTGTAAGCCTAACAAACACACCTCAAACTGCTCACATACAATCAAGGTTTTCACAAAATAGTCTACCACCGCCTGATGCATGGATACCTTATGTTTATCATACATCCCACTCCACCCTGCCGCCCAGCCCACATTCACAGTGGCAGTCGGGAAGGGGGGGTATGGAAATTAGTGACTACGGGTACGTTTCTGGAAGAGGCCTCCCCACTATTACTGCAAATTGGGACCCTACCGAGACAGCTGATCAGCTGGGAGGCCTGTCACAAGCTACACTCACACTGCTCCATAGCACATGTTCCAGACATCAAGACAATATGGATCAAACGTGCAAAAGAGTAGGTTAGCCTCGCTTTTCCCAGCAGGCCAACAAGCGGCTTTTCACAAACTAAATCTACAAGACACATTAGGGTTATCTCCTCTGGGCTACTCCTCAGATTGAACCAGCTAGCTTGTTTGTAACAGTGGTGACATTAGCAAGTGCAGAGAGACACAAAAATACTTCAAGCAATACACATGCGCTCCTATATCCTTCCTGGTATTTTCTCCTACTGCCAAAGTCAGCATGCATATCCTGTCAGGCAAGCACGCCCTAACATTTGGTCTAAAGTACAGCAGAGACATCAAACCAAGCACAGTGGAGGCACACACAATGCTACAGCACACACAATGCTACAGCACCCGTGAAATAGACGGTCAGAGTGGGGCGTTGGCTTCCTGTTAGAGCAACAAAAGGAATTTAGAGTCATTAAAAACATTACTAGGAGGAGAGCGAGTTGTTTCCATTTAGTCTCTGCTTTTTCTGATATGAAATATCATATCTTGTACTGTGTGAAGACCATTAATGACAACTGTACTGATGTACAGTAGACAATGCTTATAATGGTGCAGTGTTAATCAATTCTAACATTATTTAGCCTGTACAACTAACGTTGAAACATTAATTTAAACAACACAAAAACACAACAGCTATTACACATAGTTTACAAGATGTCAGAACAACAATCCTTACACTCAGTAGACAACATGAATGAATGTGAAGAGTAGGGTTACGCAATAAAAAGACCCCACCAGATGCCACATCAAGCAGATGTTTTTGTGAATCATATCACTCGTATACATTTTTTTTTACCATATCGTGTAACCCTAATGAAGAGCAGAACGTAGACTGACATTGGATGTTTTTGTGAATAAAGTTAGCTATGTGCTGACTGAGTAGAAGGAATTATGGGTGCACTTACGGGAGGACCAGGGTGTTCTCAGAGCCATAGTAGTCATACAGGCGAGTCTGCTGGGCATACAGCTCATCATGGACGACAGGCAATTTGCGCATTTGCTTCACAAAAGCATTTGCTTTTGGGGCAAGCACTGTGGGTTACAGGAATAGGGGAAATAGTGGTTATTATTAGTGGGTATTATTTCATAGCATGCCCTCAGTGGGATTACTGTTAATCAGTAGCAGTAGTAGTAGGAGAATAGTGCAGGGGATTTACAATCACCACAACACCACACATCAGTCTCATACTGAACCCTAGTGGTAAATGTAAGAAATAGCATTGTTGCAGGGGCTGAAAAAGTTGTGATTCTTACATACACTGTTTGTTTTTAAGCCACTGAACTTCAACTTCTCAAATCTATAACCAAAAGTAAAGAACAGTGTATACAGTAGACACAGCACCACTGCTGCTGTAGAGGAGCTGTGGTTCTTGGCACTCTGAATCAATGCCAGCAGAAATTCTTCATGTCAATTTAAATGAGAGACGACACGTGGCGTCTGACAGCCACATGACTGTAAGCCCTGAAGACGTTAAGAAAGTTCCATTTAGATTTCAAGACAGAAACATAGGTAGACTTTGCTAAGAGGAACAATAAAGGGGGGTCTAGGCCATGCAATAATAACTTTGAAGCACACAAAGTAAACAAATGAAAAGATCCAAAGTAGGCTCAACTCATGTTTCAGGAACTGCGACATAGCCTCTGTTTGGTCATGTAGTTTCCAACGATAAGCAGCTGTCAAGATATTTAACTAATGGCTCAATGACTGACTGACTATATGGCTAAAAATGGATGATCGCAGTGTGTTGGCTGATACACATCCACATTTAACCATACTTGATGAAAGGGTGATTCAGCTCCAGGGCAGATTCTCTATAATAAGTCTACAATAACAATAAAGTTTTAGTACAAAATACTACAGTAAAGTAAATGAGTTACAAATAAGTAAATAAGAGAGTGTATTTGAAACACAGAGTGAAACACTGATGGGTGGCCTAGCCTCCTGTTTTGGTGTGCATTTTTAATTTCTCCCAGCTATTTGGGATTAGTAGGACCCAATAAACATAAAAACCAAGCATTATCTTTGAACAATTAGTAGTTTTCACACACACACACACACACACACACACACACACACACACACACACACACACACACAAAAAAAGTCCTCATACTTTATTTATTATAAAGCTTTGTCCCCATATAAGGATGCAGGAGGCTAGGAGAAGTGGAGTGGCAGCTGGTGGGACCTTTGAATGTTATTTTGTCTCACTACCTGCTCCAGATGTTGCCCAATACCTCAAGTCAACATGTAGTTATTCATTGAGAGAATCTTTGATGTTGCCCCAACTACATCGTGGGGGGGGCAGATTATACAGTAGTGCCTTTAGCATTGTCACCCTCAGAGATTTACCAACTTCACTTTATTTTAATGTGGCCAAATGTGGTGGTTCTGTTCATCACTGAAACACTGGGCCATTTTACATTTTAATTCAGCAGTTGGGGCCGTTTGCTCCCAACGTAGTTTCATTTAGCTTGCTAACGGTTGTAAGCTAGCTTTCGGCTGTGTAGTTAAGCTGTTTGCGGCACTATTTTAAGACGCACCTGTCGGCTGTTTACACCCAGGTCTTAACGGTACTCCGGTTCTCATACTCACAGTAACACGAGAACAACATGCTAACCACAAGCTAACGTTACCTGCTGTGATGGCAAACTGCCCCCGGGGTACAGGACAGAGACACAACAGCACAGTGAGTTCAGTTAGCTAGAGCAAGCTACCGTTATCGTGAAGTGTCATCCCGATAGTTCCTCCGGTGTTGATGACCAGGACACGCGCCTCTGCGGAAGGTGAAGTCACCGGGTCAACGCACTCAATCGAATTGCAGCTCGACAACCTTTTCATTCGGGGCGGATTAATACTTCGCGAAAAATCCTCTATCGTCTCCATTGATGTCCGAGACAAAGCCCGATAAAGTGGTGTTAGGTTGGACTCCGCCATGATGACTTGTGAAGTGATGAAGTGAGCCGGGTGCTGGCCCTTTAAAAGCGCTTGTTGCAACGGGTCAAAACACGGTGGTCTTCACGTGCTGCGGGGAGCCTGAAGCACGGTACCGTTTCTCCGGTCTTATATACAGAAAAGCAGCTTCCATCGAAACCATGTGATGCAGTAAAGTGAGGGCGGAGCCATTGTTTTTATAAATTAGTGTAGCGGTACATCCACGGCGCAGCCTACAGTACCTCACTTTCACTCTTGAACACCTCTCTAGTTAAACGCCCTTGAAACGCTGATGGACAGTATCCGATCTGACGTCACTGCGGTGGGTGTGGCCTAAAGGGCAACAAACTTGACGGACAGTGTCCAGTAGGCCTTTTTGGGACCAGTGTGACAATAAAAGTGCAAAATAGATTTTAAAGAATTGGTTTTCAGTAATAATATGAATGATATTTACTACATGAAAATATTGTAGATTAGCATGCAACAGCTTCAGGGGGAACTGTGTTGGAAAAGTCTTCAAATCCACAAGTAAAGTATTGTAACTCACAGTGCAAATTAATACATTTACATTTGACAAATCAAATCAACTAGACAACAAATAGTGTATTTTGTCCATATAAAGACTATGCTCCATAATGTATGCATATGTTTAGTGTTTTTTTATTATTATTATATGTTAATGTGTATAACATGATGAAACTAATATACAGTGGGTACGGAAAGTATTCAGACCCCTTTAAATTTTTCACTCTTTGTTTCATTGCAGCCATTTGCTAAAATCAAAAAAGTTCATTTTATTTCTCATTAATGTACACTCAGCACCCCATCTTGAAAGAAAAAAACAGAAATGTAGAAATTTTTGCAAATTTATTAAAAAGAAAAACTGAAATATCACATGGTCATAAGTATTCAGACCCTTTGCGTGACACTCAAATTTAACCACATGCTGTCCATTTCTTCGATCCTCCTGAGATGGTTCTGCTCCTTCATTGGAGTCCAGCTGTGTTTAATAAACTGATTGGACTTGTTTAGGAAAGGCACACACCTGTCTATAAAGACCTACAGCTCACAGTGCATGTCAGAGCAAATGAGAATCATGAGGTCGAAGGAACTGCCCAAGGAGCTCAGAGACAGAATTGTGGCAAGGCACAGATCTGGCCAAGGTTACAAAAATTTCTGCAGCACTCAAGGTTCCTAAGAGCACAGTGGCCTCCATAATCCTTAAATGGAAGAAGTTTGGGACACCAGAACTCTTCCTAGACCTGGCCGTCCAGCCAAACTGAGCAATCGTGGGAGAAGAGCCTTGGTGAGAGAGGTAAAGAAGAACCCAAAGATCACTGTGGCTGAGCTCCAGAGATGCAGTAGGGAGATGGGAGAAAGTTTCACAAAGTCAACTATCACTGCAGCCCTGCATCAGTCGGGGCTTTATGGCAGAGTGGCCCGACGGAAGCCTCTCCTCAGTGCAAGACATATGAAAGCCCGCATAGAGTTTGCCAAAAAACACATGGAGGACTCCCAGACTATGAGAAATAAGATTCTCTGGTCTGATGAGACCAAGATTGAACTTTTTGGCGTTAATTCTAAGTGGTATGTATGGAGAAAACCAGGCACTGCTCATCACCTGCCCAATACAATCCCAACAGTGAAACATGGTGGTGGTAGCATCAGGCTATGGGGATGTTTTTCAGCTGCAGGGACAGGACGACTGGTTGCAATCGAAGGAAAGATGAATGCGGCCAAGTACAGAGATATCCTGGAAGAAAACCTCTTCCAGAGTGCTCAGGACCTCAGACTGGGCCGAAGGTTCACCTTCCAACAGGACAATAACCCTAAGCACACAGCTAAAATAATAAAGGAGTGGCTTCGGAACAACTCTGTGACCATTCTTGACTGGCCCAGCCAGAGCCCTGACCTAAACCCAATTGAGCATCTCTGGAGAGACCTGAAAATGGCTGTCCACCAATGTTCACCATCCAACCTGACAGAACTGGAGAGGCTCTGCAAGGAAGACTGGCAGAGGATCCCCAAATCCAGGTGTGAAAAACTTGTTGCATCATTCCTAAGAAGACTCATGGCTGTACTAGCTCAAAAGGGTGCTTCTACTCAATACTGAGCAAAGGGTCTGAATACTTATGACCATGTGATATTTCAGTTTTTCTTTTTTAATAAATTTGCAAAAATTTCTACATTTGTGTTTTTTTTCTGTCAAGATGGGGTGCTGAGTGTACATTAATGAGAAATAAAATGAAATTTTTTGGTTTTAGCAAATGGCTGCAATGAAACAGTGAGAAATTTAAAGGGGTCTGAATACTTTCCGTACCCACTGTACACATCAAGTTTTTAAATGGAACAGAAGCTAAAAAAACAATCTGTAATATGGTCAAAGTGAATAGAACTTTTAAATAATCAAATCCCAGGGAAACCATTCATTTGGATTTGGAGTCATGTTTCTGATGAAAGTCCAATATTCATTCTCCTTTTTAGCTCTGTTTTGGTCTCTACTAACTCCTGTAGGAAATATTAACTGCTAAATGCTCCACCATGATCACCAGCTATAGTCTCTAACTGTGTCTATCTGCTGTTTGGCACAGAGTGGTAAGTGCACAGTGGGTTTTTAAAGTATTTTCACTGACAACATCTGCCTGCTGTGACTGAAAACAATGCTGTGAGAGTAAACCAGAACAGTAAAGTTATGAGCAGACTCGCAGCTCGCAACTATAAAGCATAAAGCTGTAGATTCAGGTGATAATTCTCTGTAGGTTCATCATTATGAGGAATTCGGGATATAACAATACACTTAAAAACTCAAATCTATACAATTTTTTTTTCTTAATCAAATTACAGAATGCTTTTTATATTTTGAACCTTTTGAAAATTTCAGATTATAATTTAGTCTGACTTCCAGCTGTGTTAAATTAAAAATCTTTTTTTTAAATATTACATTTAGTCTCTCTTTAAATAGTCACAAAGTTTGTCTTAAGTTCAGTTTTAGCATGCAGCCTCGTGCACAACACCCATGATGTAAGTGGTAGATGCAGAAAGAGTGAGGGGAGTCGATGTGTGTGTATATATATCTTCACCATGGTTTGGATTTTTTTTACTTTAAGTTATTTTTTTATTGTTATGACTTTTGGGGGCATTGTAATGCCTTTATTGTACCTAGAGAGATGATAGGACATCAATGAGGAGAGAGATTGAACAACAAGCAACAAAGGCCTGTGTCGAGGCGGTTAATGATCAGCAGCCCTCTACCCATAGGCCACTAGGGCACCCCACATTATTATATTTTATCAGAGAGAAGACTATGAAATTTTAACCTATACAATGTATGCTGGGAAGTATGCTAACAAACAAACAATGAGTTTCATGATTATTAGTTCTGGTCATTTTATTTTAATTAGTCCGTTCTAATTACATTTATAGATAGATGGATATACTTTATTGATCCCAAGCTGGGAAATTGCAGAAAATTTAGTTAAAAAATCCTATTAATGTTATGCAGGACATGCTGTTGACGTAAAGAGGGTACAGACGCCTTCACACTTTTACGTAGGAAGGTGCCAGCCTGTCCAGTGCTACAGATAAGATGTGCCTTGGACAGGTTCCAGACTCCTTCGATAATAATGAGCAGAGAGACACTTTGACGTTGATTCTGTACCCAGAATTGTTTTGTTCCTCCCTAGATGGTATAAGACTGTGTTAAACTTTGTTTTTCAGATTATCAGTATGACTGTACCCATGCGTACATGCTTACCAAGAACTTCTCTGTTAACAGATTTATGTTGTATCAAACTAAGGACATCTGAGGCTCCTCGAGTTGAGATTGAAATTGACACAAAGTCTTCAGCATTATACAGTTTAAAGGCATCTGGTATCAAATATGGAGTGAAATCTGAAAGTTTTGGGGGTTTTTTGTATTACAATAACAGAGAGAAGTTAAAGAACTTTCTCACTTTGAAATGACTCTCTCGCTTGTGCCAAAGCAAGAAATTAGCTTGGTTTTTAATTTTACTTTAAATCCTTGTAATTTATATTTCTAAATTCAACGAACTTGTAATCCTCATTTATGCAAGGAATGTAGATTACTGTTTTCACAGTGGCATCATGGGGCAAAAACATGCTACCAAAGCAGAATCCTGTTCAGTCTGTATAATAAGCCTGTTCTTGGGACATACCACAGGCCAAAGCCCCTGCTAATATGAACCTGTCTATTGGAATCAAACCCTAAAGTTTCAACTAACCTAATACATTTTAATGCCTAAATTATGACATGATATGATATATTTTGAAGAGAGGAGGGCTGCACATTAAGCTCCAATGAATTGATTGTATCATATTTTTACCACACTTCCTTGTCAATCTAAGAACAGCATTACATACAAATACATCACCTCGTGGTTAGAAGGTACACCTTAACTTACTTAGTTAAAAAAGTAGACAAACATGAATATCTATCAACTCTATCTATCTATCAACTACTTAATACTAAAGCGCCTACAGTATGTCTCAAAAATGTTCAAATGTCTCAGTAACTCAACTTAAAAAGGCCATTTTAAAGAGAAAAGCTACAAAGAAATGAACAAATGTGCCGACATTCATAGTTCTTACAAGACATACTGTATATATTAGGGCCCTGGCTGTGGCTGAACAATAGAATAATATATTGACCTAAGATTGAATACAAAAAACAATATATTAAAGGACCTACAAACCCCTGCTCCATGCACCCAGCACATGTGCTTTTACCTGTTTTGCCTGAATACATATGTTCTACAAACTGTGTGGGTGTGTACACATTAAATGGAACAGAGCTATCGTTAACAGTAGGAGTTTCACCTGTGCTGCCTTCCTGCTATGACAAGTCAAAATGTCTGCTGTGAAAGAAGCCATTCTCTTTTACCATTCTGGTTACCCATTGTAGATTCCCATTCCTGAAAAGCACAGAAAATGTACGTTTGGCCTCTTGAATAAAGATTCTACAACATTACCTGAAATAGATGTATTCACTGCTTGCGTGGGTAAAGGAAGCATGGGGGAGGCTAAAGTAATGATATTTTATAACTTAAGCATAGCTGACATATTCTGATAAGACTTTAGACTCATTTGAGTATCTTTTCTGTAAATGATTCATGCTTATGTATGCCTATGACATAATGATGTGTGTAATAATGATGTAATTAGAGTTGATTAGTTGTGTGTTATATACAATTTCACTTGGTTGATTATTAATGAAAATAGGATTCTGTGGAGGAAATAATAGTGAGCTATTGAGAATAATGCAAGTGTAATAGT